TGTTAAGGTCGGAAGGAGAAAGGTCAGACGACCAGCCCACAGCAGAGCTCTCTAACTTCAAAACAGGAGGGTAAGTGGCTGCGAAGGCCTGCTGTTCAGGTAAAGGTCTGGGCCAGAAGCAGCTGCAGAAGCCTCAAATCCTGGCTGAAAACAAATAGCCAATCAGCAGCACCGGCTGTCTGCATATGATCAAAAGGACAGCAGGAACTGGAACCCAGACCTTGACTTAAGGCGAACTGTCAGTGGGTAAAAAGACCTCAGCCTACCATGTCACATACTATATCCTTGTTTCTATGCAGGTGTGTATTCACATAGCTATGGCATGTCTGAACAGCTTTATGTCTCACTCTCCAACTTTAATAAGTGAATGAAATGGAAATAGACTGGACATCCTACTCAGTGACATGGTGAGGCTCGTAACCATTTGTCCTGCAGAGGATACTCAGAACATGGCTGCCTTCCGCAAACTTCCTACAGAAAGTGACTTACGGGGGTGCTGCCGGGGCAGAAGGATGCTGGCAATGTTCAGTGTTATCTCTGCTCCTCCAGAGAAGGGAAGGCAGAAGAGATGGGAGCTGAAACAGTGTCATTAAGCGGCTTTCTACGTGGTGGATGAGTAGAAGTCATTCATCCAAAACATGTGGAACCCTGGGGGATTTTTTTTTAGCTTTTCACTGGCTAATAGTCAGAAGGTGTGCCTTCAACAGTCACAAGACCACATCCTGGTTGAGAGCAAGTTAAAGATTTGGCAGAAGCATCAGTGAGCTGCCAACAGTGCCTCGGTGCTCATGGCTTGGTCCTTTACCTCGTAGGTGAAGGTATCTGATCAAAACAGTGAGGACACACTGCTCCTGAGATCGGAGGAAGTTATGGTACTAACTTGTCATGCTTGGATGGTGTAGCAAATTCAGCTGAAAGCGTATTTCTCTTATGTTTTGATTTGGGTTATTTGCACAATTGTCAGTATTACTATGGAAAAGGGATGGAATTTCATGTGATTAAAGCACATACATCATAATACACTTAATGTACACTTGCATTCGCCACCTAGGAGACAACAAAAGCAAACAAAAATGTCAGGACACTTTTTCAGAAGAGACTCCTATTTTGCTCTATGTCCCATTACAGCGCTTTGCCTCATGGCATGGCAGTTAAGAGGCAATATTCAGGCCTTGCAATTCTACAGTCTGAGGCTTGGTGATGGAGGAAAAAGGCTGGGAATATACTGTACCCGTTTCTGCCAGGAAGCTGCTCCTCCTAAGGCAGACAGGAGTCGTGGGCTTTCCACCTGAGTGTCTTGACACCACGGGAGTGTTTGGCTTAGAGGTACATGAAACAGGGACACTTCCCCAGATTAGAGTTTTATTTGTTTGTCTAGAGTCGTGGCCACCTCTTACCACCACGCATATCCATGAGCTGTGCACCAAGGCATTTCCACGTGAGGGAGGCACGCTTTCTACCTAGCAGTACAGATGCAGGGATGTTCAGTAGCTGCGGCTTTCATTAATGTCCCTGTTTATCCCTACCCTATACATATCCAAGCCCCCAGTGTGGAGATGTCTATTAAGAAACATCATTATGGAGACGTCTCACTAGTAGGGCTAACTCCGTCCATTCAGCCGACAGCTCCCGATCCAAAAGTCTGGCAGCCAGCACCTCTCTGCCCAGCAGGCCACCCCAGCTGGTCCCACACTCCCTGGGCCTTCTCTTCCCTGAGCCTGAAGGTACACTCAGGGCCTGACTGCTGTACAGGACCAGCACAGTTCCGCTGTCCAAAAGCCCTTCCAGATCGGCGTGCCTGTCCATGGGCAAGATGAGCCAGTGGAGGAAACCAGTATGGCTGACTCTCAGACTTGCTGAAAACTCACAGCTACATGGATGGGTGATCTCGTTCGCTTGAGCTCAGGCAACGTAGTTCCTTCCAGAGTAACGGTGAGAGCTTAAAGTGCTTCCTAAGACCGGTCCTCACTTCCTAGTACCAAAGGATGGGTTTGGTCACAGCAGTGGTGAATGCTGGCATTATCTTCCCAGTGGCATCCGTTTCTAGGACAGACCTGGCCAGCAAGCTGTTAGAACATGCCTGGCCCACGTTACAAACTCAGGGAAGCACATGAGGGCACAAAGAACAACTGTGAAGACGTCTCTAGCGCGGGCATGATGCTCTCCTACACCCACCACCTTGTCCTGCTTTCGGACTCAACACAGGCACACTTCATTTTAGAACCATGCCTCTCTTACACTTATCCAGAAGTTCATTTCCTTATTCTGTAAAGCATAGCTTTACTATAGGATTGCGAAAAACTGACCTCTTGTGCCACCGCCATTGTATTATGTGTGGTCTATCTGCAATGAGAGGTGGTGCTACCATTCTCCAAAGGGTTTCCTGGAATCTTTTGTTTTAAAGATTAAAAAGCAAACCAAAAATTAAAAGTTTCAATGAAATGTTTAATTAGTAACACTAACTCTCAGAACATTTGCTACTATGAAAATCTCATCTTTGTCAGGCCTAAACTGGCAAGGAACAAAAACCAGTACAGCCTTTGAGACACAAGACTCAGTTACTTTGATTCAGTACTAAAACTCCAGTCCCTGGTGAGAAACCCCGTAGCAGTCCTCACCCCAACCTCCTCATCATTCCTATAACAAAGCTAGCATGCATTTATGGACCATATCCAGAAAAGAAGAACCTCGTAGACTTTGCTGAAGAACCAGTTAAGGATCAGGGAAGGATCTCAGGAGGACTTCTCCCACCCACAAGAGCTCCCCAAGGATTCCCTTGAGGCACAGCTGGCAGCCCAGAGCAGCCAGCTGTTCCTTCCACCTGAGTGCTGCACCCCTGCCCTGGCACCCAGCCAAGATGGTGCATGCAAACCCCACTCAGGAAGAGAGTGGATGTCACATTTGCTCAAGAACTCCTAACATCCACACTTAGCGGCTTAGCTTGTGCTGTTGTTGCGGTATTTGTGAATAAATTTTAAAATAAGTTTCCCTCAGTGTCTTTCAGGAGCCTGCAGCTTTTTATGAAAAGAATGTGCAGCTTCCTGAATAGCTTTTCTCCTGGGTCTGCCTGTGCGATGTCTTCAACCATTCCTGGCTGAGCTCAGCCTAGGAAGAGCTGAGTCACAGCAAAGCGAAGCCTGGAGACGTCTACAAAGGCCAAAGAGGTCAGAGCAGAGGTCTGCTCTCTCCCAGAACACTGTTACCCTTGTCCTCTGGGTCCTGCTCTTGCAGTTTACAGGATCTGGATGTGACAACCCCTCCCCCCACCCTAGGCAGGAGAATTATGAGGTTAGGAGCTCAGTCTTTTTGAAGCCCAGGAATGCACATAATAAGGGACCTAACACCAACAAACAGAGTGGACCAGAACTGAGGGTCTGACCCCCACAACAGCTGCCTGCAGGATGAAGTTCTTGCCACACTGTTAGAACTGCAGCTGTTGTGTCGGAGGGATCCTGAGCCCAAACTTCTATCTACCTCGCTTGCCAGCCAACAGAAAAGCAAGGAACTGACAGAACATCATTCTTTTATTTCCTAAAAGCAAATGTGAAAACTCAAGTTCCTTTTCCCTTGAAGGGATGTTGAGTAGTGGCCGGCGGGGGCTCTGGTCCCTTCCCTGGCATTCTGGCTAATGGTGAGGTGGCGCTGTGGCGTGCTGTTCAGGGTCCATCTGCAGACTTCCACCATGCTTGGCTCAGCCAACATCGCCGCCACAGGGCAAGGGCAATCACACACACAAACATTAGTAAGTGGACACAGTTTCCAAGGACACACGAGTTGCATGCTCTAAAACAGAAGTGTTAGCCTCTTGAAGTAACCTACAGACATTAACAGGGGTACAACTAGACTAAGTCAGTGTGGTTAGGGCCCAGACGGTGTCATCTACTTCAGCCTCTAGGGGACAAAAAAGGGGACCAAAACTAAATTAAGAACTAGGACTAGCAGATGTTAATGCTATGGAGACAGGTAATGAGGCATGAGGAGGCACTTACGTGAAGGAGGGCTATCTGCATTTCCCATGGATGGAACACAGACGAAAAGAAAAGCCAAGAGACAGACCCAAGGGAAAAAAATAAGATGTAAAAGAAATGAACAGAATATGTAGGGTTGGAGCTGGAAACTCAAATTATCAAATTACTTCAAATCCAGAAAGAAGCAATCCCTGTAGAAGGAAGAGGAGATGGGCTTTTGTATTTTGGGGAGGAGGCCATGGGGTCCCTTTGCAGGGTTCTGGCTCCAGACCAAGGCAGCAAAGGATTCTCCCGCGGGCATCACGTTAGCCAGGAGCCAGGGGCGTGTGAAGAGCCCTGCGGGCCCTCAGGAGTCCCTGCTCCAGCGTCTTCTCCAGGTGGACAGACTCCAGAGCCTCCCAGACCAACAGCTTTGGTCTGTAGAGCTTACCCAGGCGTGGTCTGAGGCAAGGGAACAGGGGTGGAAAAGAGATGCACCCCTGGGGGGGATCTGGGAGCAGCAGCTCTCCTCTCAGAGCCTTTGAGGTGGGGAGAACGGGAGGGGTGGGAAAGTCTAAGGCCACTCCTTGTCATGGTTGAGATTCTGCCCCTGCTCCTGTTATCTTATATCGGTCCCCATTGCTGTATGACTTAGTATCTCAGCTGCCTCAAAAATCCCAGCACAAATTATGTGAACTGTCACCATCTGTGTGCCGCCTTCAAGTTCCAGATCTTAGGGGCCTCTGTGGCCTGTGCCAAAAATCGTCTGTCCAATCCCCCCACCCCTAGGATTTCTTTCCACGCTCAGCAAGACTATTCTGGTGCTGTGTATGGTCCCTTCCTCAACACTGCAGCAGCCAGACCAGCTTCTAGGATGATGTCCCCAGCCCCTCTGAGCAAGACGAGTGAAGAAGAGTGTGTTAGCAGGAGAGAGCGGGGAGATGGGCTGGCATGAGCAGAGGGGCTTGGGGACAGGGCCCGCTCAGAGTGTCCGCTGCTCCCAAACCGAAGAGGGGCCTTCAAGGCAAAGGCGGGGTGGCTGGCTCTACTTACGGACTGGCTGCGTCTTGAACTCGGAGGCCGCGCTAATCTCTCCCAGCCCCTTGCCGTTGAGGGCTGCCAGCCGGACCGCGTAGGTTGTTTCCGGCTTCAGGCCCATGATAGTGACAATGCCTTCCATGTTGGCTATGGGGAGAATGGGAGACAGGTCACAAGAGTGCAGAAGCCTCCTGGGAAAACGATACAGCAGAAAACAAAACGGCAGGTTCTCACAGAATGAAACAGAATCATGGTGTGATCCACCCAATCTACTTCTGGGCAGTCACAGAACTGAAAGTAGGGACTCAAACAGATTCTACACACCCATGTTCACAGAACCAACATTTCATGGTAGCCCACAGGGAGAAACAACCCAAATAACCAAAGATCTGGCCACTGCCAGATGAATGGATAAAATGTGGTAGAGACAACAATGGAATATTACTCAGCCTTAAAAAAGGATGGGATTCTGATATATGCTACAAGATGGCTAAACCTTGAGGACATTATGTCAATGAAACATCCAGACACAAAAGGACAAATACTATATTATTTCATTTATATGAGATAGTTACAGTAACCACGTACATAGTGACAGAAAAAAAAAAAAGTGGAGGCCGGAGGACGATGAAGGAATGAAGAGCTGGGGTTGAATGGGTAAATATTCAACACCTAAATTTCAGTTTAGGGGTAACAGAAATATTCTGGAGATGGATGGGGGCAATGGCTGTGACTTAATGCTACTGAACTGTACACTTAAAAACAGTGAAATGAAAAGTAAGGTTTATGGTATATACGTTGCTATGGTAAAAACAAAATCTCCCAAAAATTGATCTTAGAAAAAAAAAAAAAAACTAAAATTGATCTTAAAAGAAAAAAGCTTGGTGCAGACTGTAACTGGGGACCAATCTGCCACAACGTCAGTAGTGTGACATTTCTGAAGGGAGGTGGGAAAGCGAAAGGACTGTCTTCCTTTTGCTCCAGTCCTGGCCACACAGCAACTCCTCTCAGCGTTCCTCCCCCTGAGGGGAAAGCGGCTCTCAGGCAGCCTGTGTGGGGCCCTGTTTCAACGTGGCTGCAATGCCAATCTCCCCATTTCATCCTAGTTCTCAATCAGGCTAAGATTAAAAATTTCTTCAGAAACTCAACATACTTTCCCATGTCACTGCAATCAAATCCCAAAGGCGGAACAGACATAAATATATTCCATCCTCAGATGGTCCAGGGTTCAGATCTTGAAACTTCAGTGATCCATAGGCCAGTTTCTTAATTTTAGATTGGAATGATATTTTAGGATTGATTTCAGAGCAAACTTGTCCCGCTGGCTCTGCCTCCTTGGTTACTGTCATAATTAAATGACAGTCCTTGGGGACAGCCAGACACACAGGGATGGTCAGGGTCAGCAGAGACCTTGGGGCACAGTTGCCTGGCAGCACAGCGGGGGTCCCCTGCCTCCGCTCAGCACTTAAGCAGAGCACCAGCCTGGAACATGGTTGAGATGGCCTCACTTTTTCTGGCAGGAAAAGTGAAAACAAAATTCTAAAGCTCTGGAGTGTAGAAGGCCAGCTCCCGAGGAGATGTGACTGTGCCCTAATTTTGCAGGGACAGTACCTAATGCCACGGAAACTCTGATGGCACGGTGGGTGGAGCCATCTGGCATGCTCTGGTAGGTAGGAGTGGCGTGGCATCCACTCAAGTGGGCAACCAGCGTTGGATGAATACCGGGAGTGAGAGGGTGAATACCGGTGTGCGCCTGGCCCGGGGGACGTGCCTTCTTCCAGACCCACCTTCTTTGGCATCATACCACTTGGAATGCCACACTTCTTCACCCAGTGCTCTCCATTCGGCCTTGTATTTGAGGATAGGCACTCCACCGGTGGCCTCTGGCTCATCAAACTGCACCTGTGCTGTGCTAGAGTATGGCTCCACCTGGTCGATGGATGGTGAAGACGGGGTGTCTGTGGGGAGGACACATACGGAGACCCAGGTGAGCCCAGCGGGGCTCAGATCACAGCTTCCCCTGCAATGCACACCTGTCATTTCTACTTACCCTTAAGAGTCCTTTCGCCTGTATTCTCTCCTGGCCCTTCGCCACAGTTCTCCCCCAACACAGCCCGTGTCCTCTTACCTCCAATGCTCCTGGCTTCCTGACCCTTGGCCCTCCCTTCTACTATCCTGGTTGCCCAGAATACGTAGGGCAGGCTGACAAGGGGAAGGGTGGTGCAGAAATCACCACAAGGGGCTCTCACCTGCTTGCACGAGGATGAACTCCAAGGACTCCTGCCCAATGCGGTTCACTGCAGTACAATTGTAGTTTCCAAAGTCATTTTCAGAGTCTGGGGTGACCTTTGGAAGGAAGGAGCTTTTGGGTTACAAGCGTCCTGTGGGATGGCCACAGATTCAGATCCTTATTGATTTGACTAAATTAGTGAAGAAAAGAGCAAGTACAACATAAACTATTAACATCAACTTAGTCTTGAACAAGAGAGACTAGCCCAGGGGCTTCTGAACTATCCTACCTCCCCATCCCAGGGCAGCTGCTTGAAGATCAGGGCAGCCCAGAGAGGTGAGCTGGGGGCAGTTCCGTTTCTTTTCCAGCCAATGGCTACCCAGTTCAGGATGTGCCAGGGAGCAGAAGAGAAGATGCAAGTGGCATTCAGAAGCCTAACCATTGCCCAGCGGTCTCCTCCACCCTAACCTACCTCCAGATAGCTGGCAGAGTGGGTGTTGTAGATCTTGATATTGCTGTAGTTGGAGCTTGGCAGCAGCTGGCCGTCTCGGAACCAGGAGATGGTAGCACTTGGATAGGCAAATACCTCGCAGGTGATGTTCACCTGGTTCCCTTCCCAAGTGTAGACCGCCACAGGGCCCTGGAGCTTGGGGGCATCTGCAACGACCAACAGCGGATGTCATGAATATCAGGATGGCCACCACTGTCTTAGAGTCACCACATCCTATCTCCTGGCACTGGGATGACTGATGTGCCCCAAGGAAAACAAGTGCCTGTGGGGCCGGGGGGATGGCTCAGTGGAATAAGCGCTTCCCTGGCAAGTTCAAGGGCCTGAGTTCAATCCCCGGTTCTGCAAAAAAAAAAAAAAAAAAGAAAGAAAGAAAACGAGTGCCTGTGATTATACAGGTCAGGCCATTTCAGTGTTCCTGTGCACGGGTGCTGCCTGGGAAGACTCAGAGCATAAAGGGCTTATAAACTGTCAGGGGGTGCCTTGGGGGGTTGACTGGGGAACATAGCTCTGAAATGGCCTGCAGCCCACTGCTACAGAGAATGTGACAAAGCTCACAGGGTACAGCTGATGTTCTGGCTGCCATCTTCCTCTCTCTTCCTAACCCATCACGCCCCCAACCCCCTGTGTCTTCCACCGCTTCCTCCTCACATTGCACTTCAAGGTACATAGACTGCGAGTCCTGGCCGATGGTGTTGCTGGCTGTGCAGATGTACTCTCCTGCGTCTGTGTACTGGATGCTTTTCAGGGTCAGGGATGACACTCGGGCGTGGCTACGCACCACCATGTGCCCATCCAGAGTCTGCCAGGAGAAAAGGGGGAGCGTCATGGCCTGAGGCAAGGTGGGGGCCACAGTAGCTACAGCGGGGTAGAGCTAGAGACTAGGCCACCACTTGTCTGACCCCAGTCTCACACCCTGTCTCCTCTCTGTGCCATCTAAGTCTCACTTTGTGTATCATCTAATAAGGGAGGCTCAGAAAGCATCATGGGAACTTGGGTGTATCCAAAACAGAAAGTGGGACTCAATTATGACAAATGGTTTGAACTATGTGTTAAAACTGGTTTGGAGCAAGGATAGGTTAGGTGCCCCGAGACTACTTTTTCTGAATGTATAAAATGGAAGCAAAAGCTCCCATCAGTAGAGCTTCCGAAGCAGTATTCTTGTCTCATAAGATCTTAGAAAACTTGGACTCCCGCCTTTTCCCTCTAGTCTTCCCCCTCCACTTCCATGGTGCATACATGTGTAATGAGAAAAAACATGCACAATGTAAGAAATTTTGAAAAAAAATTTTTTTTTCTGTAGATGCCTTTCTTTCCTAAATCCTGATGAGTAAAACAATTCCACTACAAAAAACAAAAACAACTTTAGTATCAGGAGCTGGTGAGCTAAAAGTGAGGGTGTCAGGACCTCTCTCCAGGGACAGTGGTATGGATCTTGGATCCTGAACCTCAACCATGGTCTCCATTTCCTATTTGTTGATACTGCTCTTGGCCTCCCAAAACACTGGAATTATAATGATTGGTCAAAAAGAATGAGCACATGATCCTTAGGCAGTGGGTGCTAAGACATTTCCCTCTTAATGTTCTAAGAAAAACAGTTGCCATCTCCAGGAAAGTCTAGCCATGTGGCCCAAGTGCAGAAGGCTGAGAAAGTTGGAAACTAGAAGAAGGGGTCATGTTCCTTGTAGGATGGGCTACCCTCATCTTCAGTACATGTTGTTCCACAGAGATGGATAAGAGTGTACCCTGCATCCGCCATCCTATGTGGTCTCAGTCTTCCGAGAAGACAGAACTGTAAGGCCACCCATGTCCTTTGGAAATGCTGCATTAGAAGCCTGAAGCCAGAAATAGAATGTGCTACAGAAGTGAGTTTGGGAGACTCAGAAACAAGGGAGCTCTGGCTTTTTGCAGCCATCTCTGCAGAACTATCACAGTCATCCTTTTTCACCATCACCCTTCTCTTAAGAGGAAGGACTGAGTAAAAAGTGCCTCCTGTAGTGAGTAACTCTCCCCTTGGGAGGAAGGCCCTGGTGTCTCCACTTGACCTGTGCTTCTGGGAGGCTGGCTGCCTGGGAACCTGCATCCTAGGATGGCATGCACTAATCAGAGATGGCAGCAGACAGGTGTGGGGCGCTTCCCTAGACTTGGACATCCAACTTTCTGGAAGCATTAAATTCTCAGATGCATTTTTTTTTGTAGCTGACAGTGATGTGCTGCCCATCCTAGTGGCTATTTTCATATGCAAAGCACAAATCTTTACTCATCAATCTGCATTAGGATCACCAAGAGAGCATGAAGCCATTCCTGCAGGTCTCTCTAAAGGACTGGCCCAACCTGCTTGCACTACTATTTGCTCAAAACACAGCAGACTAAAGGTAGAGGGGAAGTGGGGTCCACACTTGGCCTTTCTGATCCTAGGGGATGCCATCTATCTGATGAACTATTATTCTTTGTGATCCAGAATTACTGGTCCTGGGGCTGCAATGTATCATAATCCTTGGGAAGCCACGAGAACATTTGCATTGGAAGAGAAGCAAATGAAGCCATGTAGGTAAGAGTGGACATGAAAAACAATGCAGAGGATGGGCAGATTTTGCTCAGAATAATCAAGAAAGTGCTGGGAAAACAACGAGCTCAGGGCCAGCCATACTCTGTTCTTCCCATCCAGTCTCTCTTCCTAAGCTTCTCTATGTGGAAATTTCTCTCACTTAATGATGTCAACAGATCAGTATACAGTCCTCTAAAGAGGATACTGATTTTGCGGTGGCTCACTTCAGGTTTGATGGTGGGATTATGCAGCAGATGCCAGGCTTTTCCTTTGAGGATACACACTTCAGTGCATCTGGACTATCTTCCCTTAAAATGCCTTACTGAGGCATGGAGGCGAAGTCAGGGAGTGCCACCCCCAAGACCAGCTCTTACGCTGCCCGTTCAGCCTCCCCTAGGGATGCAGATGAGCTCTGGGCAAGAGGGAAGACATCGTTAAGACAGGATGAGCCTTTTTCTCTTTTAAAAATCAAGAAGATCAAAAACACACGAAGGGCAATGGTAATTATTCTTCTCATCCAAACCCTTTTGTTTCCCTCTTCCAGGTAAAAACTGCTAAGGCCTTCCAGAGCTTACAGAGCAAAACCTGCCACAGCACGAGCCTCTGGCACTCATCCGGAGTTAGGACTTTCATCTTTGAATGAGACAAATAGGAGAGAAGGGAACTTCTGAGCCCCATGGGCTACATTCACTTGAAAGTCAATTATGTCCAAAGCACAGCATTCAAGATAAAGACACTTCAGCAAAATGGAGTGATGTGTCCGCTTTCCTTGGAGTAAACCTATTATTTCCACCTATAATAATAACTCTCTTAACATCTCCTTAATGCTCCCTGATAAATCCCAGCTCCTTCTCTACCCAAGTCTAGACCGGAATGACAGGGCAAAATGCACAAGGCAGAGCAGAATGAGATCCGTCGCCGCTGAAGGCTGGCTGATAATTAACCTTTCTTGTCTCACTTCTCCAGTTCCAACGTGTCCATGTCTTTGGGACAATAAAACATCCAACCTGTGCAAGCACTAAGGAGCTCCTGAGCTACAGCGGGGAGGCATTTCAGCGAGGACAGACACTGGACGGTATTTCCCTACCACGATGGTAAGGAATGTTACGAAGACAGCTTATAAAGGACAAACTTGGGGAGGGCAGCGGGTAGCATCCCCATGTGCAGAGACTAATATCTGTGCCCAGGGACAGGTGGTCAACTTTTAAATATTAAGCAGCATTAACCATGCATATTATCACTTGACACATGAGTTATGTGTTGTGAATAGTTATTGTTTCCAAAAGACTAACAATACATTTGCAGAATTAAAATACAGAACTTATAGGATCTTCTGTGCTTATAATAGCAAAGCTTCATATGGACACAGACAAAGGCTACTCAACAAAAAATTTATGTATTAGACCCTTGAACTCCATCTAACGTAGGATAGATTTTGTTATTTGTCACTTAGTCACACAAATCAGGTACAAAATGATGGGCTGACCATGCACAGGGTCTTGGAGCGCAGCAATTAAAGTCTAAAGGTCAATGGTTAGCTTTAGCTTTCAAATTAAATCCTGCACTACTAGACTTGAAGCAAGGGGACAGAAAAATTTCAAAGGTTAAATGCTACTGACTTTACAAAACACGAGCCCATTTTGTACCAGATCATTCCACTCTCATCTATTGAAAGCACTACTGAAATAACAGGTATGTTTAGCAATTTGGGAAGATCATGAGAGATGTCCCTTGGGTAGCTTTGGAGATGAAATGTGATGTGACCATTTACCAAGACCAATCGTTACGAAATATGTGAGCAACAAGATGAGTTGAGCTGGAGAGGAAAAGGCCAAGTGGGTTTTAGGACACTAACTCTGTGGCTTTATGATCCCAAGCCACAACCACCATAGGAGAGTAAAAAAAAAAATCATCATTTCAAATGCTTGGACTGGGAATTGGGGCAATTTATTTCTATCAATATAATTACCTGGATGTGATTTTTACCAGCACCAGCAAGAGAATAAGATCCAGTTTTAGGAAATAATAAGGATTTGTCCATCCACTCCCAACACAGCTCTGCTTGCTCATCCTACAATGATGCTATTGCTAAAGCCACGTCTACCACTATCGACCTATTCTTTAATCTAACTAAACTACTAATTAGTTTAGCATGTCTTGTTATTAACTGTGATGGCGAGTTAAACTTTAATGCTTTCAGAACTAAAGACTGGCTAGTGGTCAGGTAAGCTATACCTCTTGCTTCTCTGGTCGAGTCCACGAAGCCTGGAGAGAACAAGATATAAAACACAACAAGAAAGCAGTAAAATTTTACAACATGTTGCTTTAGAGAATTGATGTATCATACTGCATTCCGTGCACATGCAGCTTCTTTCTAATTTAGGACTTTTTCTCAGGCCCCACTTTCAATGGTGTGTTTATGACCCAATTTAATTTAGGATTTAGATTGTATTCAGCTTCCTCCCCCCTTATGCACATTAAAATGTATAACTCAAAGGTAAATGCATACCTAACATTGGGCAGACATATCTGTAAATACTAGCAGCGTATTGGGCTGCTCTTGTTGCAAGGCCTTTTAAATATTCCTTGTAGTAGTTGGTGACACTAGTAGTTTTGTCCACACAATCTAAAGACACTTGAAGAGATGTCCTCCTCTGGATTTTGTTAGACAGATTATCACAGATATACTAATGCCATTTTATGCTCATGCATTTTATAATTCTTCACATGCATTCTATTGAAAATAAAAAAGTGTATTAAAAGTAGAAAAAGAACAAAGCAAGGAGTAGAGAAGTATATTCAACATGAGAAGTATGAAGTCTTTGAGATTACGGATCAGATTATGGATTATGGATTATGGGCTCCAGTCCATAAAGGCAAAGAGTGCCCAAATAGCACATGGGCTCAAGCACGAAACATGCTCATATAATGCAGCATGTCCCAGGGAGAAAGGCAACTTGTGGACACACAGGTTTGGGGAATTTCCACCCCACATGTAGGTGTTTTAATTTAGCTGGCACTTGAGCACCCTCTCTGGTTACAGTTTTGCTGTTTTCATACATGGGTCAAAGACATCATAGTCACATTGTATTTTTCCATTGTCTGCCTGATTGTCCCTGATGTTCAGATGGAAAAAGGCTGGAAAAGATTCAGCAACACAGCAATGCAGTTCAGGGAATGCATACGAGTTAGCGAACAGTAGGAGTCTGCTGATGCAAGGAGCTTTGGGGAGGAACAAGGATGGAGATGTGGGATGAGGTCACGTGGTTTTGGAATGAGGGGACAAATGAGAACAGAGAGACATGCATAGGCCGAAGGAACAGTGGGCCAGGCCGACAGTGTCACATGTGATTGCCAATTCCACAGCACTGAAAAGGTTGTTTGTCACATGCCAGGGCTACAGGAACAAGATTTTTAAGGGTGTTCTCCTGGAAGCTTTTAGCTTTCAAATCTGATGCTTCTGTGTCTCTCTTGAGTCACTATGGTTCCAAAGCTTTGAGAATAAATATATGCTGGTTAAGATGATCTGCTATGAAAATATACATGCTTAGGACATAAATTAGGGCATCATTAGTGTGCTCCAAAACTGTTAGTTCTAGGTTGTTTTAATATTCACGTTTTATTGTTTTACATGCAAGTCTTCAAGCATATGCACAAAGCAAGGCCCCCCTACACTTGTCCGAACCACTCCCTGTGATGGATCTGCCCTAGATAAACCAGGTTCTGCTCACTCCCTGCAGCCACTTGTCCAGGGTTTTGTCAACAGGACAGTGGGCTTGTCCTGAACGAAAAATTCTCAGTGAAAAGAAAGCTCTACCTTCCCCCAACTCCAGAATTTCAAAAGGGCTCTCTTGTCTGTGTAATTTTATCAGGCAAAGGTTCAAGAGTTGCAAGATATGTTTCTTTTTTCCTACCTACTATGTCTCCTAATCGCAAGTCTTTACTTCTCTCTTTTCTCTTAATTATTGTGTCTTTGTTTGTAGCCACCCTAAAGCCGCAGAGGTGTTCCAATAAGCAAATGAGGGATTTTTTTTTTTTTAAATTTCTGCCAGGGATCAAGTATGCAAATCATCGTTCCTGGGTTTTGTTCATTATATAAATGGTGCCTGGAATTTAGCAACACTCACTCAAACGCCTGGCAAGTTTAAGATGAACCTGTGTAGGATGAGGGATGAGATGACGCAGAGGCACAAACTTTCTGAAGTGTCACAGGACTGTTGCACACGTGATCACACTGACCCACCGGGATGCTCCAAATGTTTTGTGAAGATAACAGCAAGGACTAAGAAATGGCTCGACATCTGGAAAACGATTGGCCTTAATAATCTCATGGCTCCAGACAATTAGCTTAGCTTCTTACCGATTGCAGAGCTAACCCAACTCAAGGAGCAAGTTAGCAGCCTGACAATGATCACTTTCAAGCTGGTAATTGGACTCAATCCAGAGTCAGTCCAGACCCAGGATAGGGATGACGATCATATGCTCTGCACTGGTTTTGCTCTTCCCTTTCTGTCTTTTTTTAGAACGCAGAACACTGATATTCCATTAGAAAGTCTCTGTTGTTTATGGCTAAAAAAATCTCTTCTCCCTTTCCCATAAGGGGTAGACTGGTGGACCGTCAGACTTCAGAATGACACAAAGGCAAAGCTATTTTAAGTCCCTTAAATTTTTATTAACTTCATTAAAAGGATCATTGAACTTTCCATTAAAGTCCTCAGAATCCCAAGGAGTTTCAGGACACCGTGGTATCTGGTGCTGTATCTTCTGAGCCACTGACCCATCAGGAAGTCATGCTTGGACTTCACCTTGCCCCAGACCACATCTCTATCAGTGACTTGAGCCAACACATTTCAAATAAGTGCTCAATAAGGTTGGAAACAACAGCTGATATAAATGTTGGATGACAATTGCATTGGGAAGACTACTGAATTACTTGTCCTTGGACTTTATGTTTATGGGGGCTGTCACCATGGACTGTTCTATCTCTACCTCTCTAATCTATCTATCTATCTATCTATCTATCTATCTATCTATCTATCTATCATCTATCTATCATCTATCTATCTAACTTTCTATCTAACTTTCTATCTAACTTTCTAACTTTCTATCTATCTATCTATCTATCTATCTATCTATCTATCTATCTATCTATCTATCTATTCATCCATGCTAGGGGCCCCAAAAGGGCTGAAATGCCCTGCCTCGTAGACTCCTAAGGATCGTTCTAATTAAGTCCCTCATGTAGGTCTGATATAGGGTAAAACAGTTGTCCTCAAGCTGAGAGAGTCTCGCCCCTTTTGTAACAATTAGAGGTAGATTTTGGCATTTAAGGAGCTAAACATCCTGTGATGCATAGGACAGACCCCATGAAGAAAGATTCTTCCCAAATTGCCACAGCAATCCGGCTGAGGAACACTCGGCTACAACAAACCAAATATATCTTTTAACAGAAATAAATATAAATTCTGCATTGTCGGTCAAAGCAATCAATTGTGTGGGAAGAGGACAGGGGATATGTGGCTTAAAGGCAGTTCATGTAAAGAATCCCTGTACATTTTAGTGGACCGCAAGCTCAATACAAAGTAGCAGAATTAAGACACTATTCAAGGGCTAATGCAACTTTAACTGTATGATGGTTAAAGATTAAGAAGGCAGCAACCTTTCTAAAGTCATTTTGAAGTGCTCTGAGCATGGCCCCATTTTAGGGGAGCACTAGCGCACGGCACCTGTGCAGCACGAGACCACGAGAAGGATAAAGGCTGTGGAAACCTTGACATGAGCCACAGGGACAATGGCTGGGTGTGGTAAGTGCAAAGAGTAAAGAAAAACAGGAGAGACCCTTGAGCGACCCTCAGATGAAGGACTGAGGGGCAGAGCTGGGGGCACTGAGGAGAGAATGGCGTAGGAAAGCAAGCGGCCCTTCCTGAGCATCACACTGGCAACTCTCCTGCAGAATGACAAGGAGGCCTCAGACTCTAGAGAGGGGCCACGTAACTTTCTAGCAGAGATTCTAGAAAAGGGAGCCAGGCAAGACTAGATAACCTTACTAGGTACCTTCCAGCCTTCTATGACGCTGCTATTTCATGGGACCTAAACTCAGGAGGTTTCTTTGCCAATTAGCTAGAACCTGATTAGCCTATCATCCTAATTTAAAAAAACTAAATTGTTTTCTTCCACTTGTATCATTCAACAATGCTAAAAATCTCAAGGCTTAATTGAATACAACACCTCTTTAGTGGGAAGAGAATACAAGGAGAGCTTGCCACAGTAAGTAGATTTCCTTTTCTGGCATCCAAACTGTTCATGGATAACTCGCACTTGTCTTTTTAATTATTAGTTATCTACTTGATAACATGGGCAGCATACTTCCCAGATGTTCATGCTTAACACAAATGGCAAATTTTGTTATACAGGATTTCATTTAGGCAAATTATGTTAATCTGGTGTCACAACTAGAGCTCATCTGGAGGACTTGTTCTAACATTTACTGACTCATGGTCCAATAATGTCACTTCAAGTAGATCTGCAGATAGTCTATAGCAAAAGAAACTGCAGTGTGACCTAGCTGGGCTTGAATAATTGTCAGTCTAAAACGGATGATATACGTGGAAAACTGAGTTGTATGAAGAGCCAGTCCCTGCTAATACCAAAAGGCATCTTGTTTTTGGAAACCTCCAGGGTCTTTATTTACTAAGTATGAGTATTTATTCTCATTCTAGAGAATGAGATCATAAGTAGAGGCCTGAAATGTCAGCCTATTAAAGAATGTGAGGAAGGCAAAAATCTTAGTAGTCTTTCTTGTCTAGTTTGGCTGTTCAGCTAGTCCTAGGAAAAAAAAAATTGAGAGCAGCATTCATCTATGACAGGTATTTCTGTCTTTCCCTGCAGGTCAAAGATGTGTCCTGGGTCACTCTGGACAAAGCTACTTTTAAGTCTAGTGGAGAAGGGCCCTCTAAGCAGCGGCCCTGTGGATTAAGCCCTGAAATGTACATTCAATCCACAGAACATACAACGGGAGCTGAAGTCTTAGCCAAAGGTTTATCTCCATTGTTGATAAAGAAACTATCCAAATAAACACATTTATTAATCTAGCTGGTTTTGCATATCAGACAGCATATGTGTTTCAAAAATATTTAGCAGTTTCTCAGCTGAGTTTTTGTGAGGTTGAATTTAAATCTGGGTGTAAAACTTGCAAAAAAAATAATGAGTTATCTAGAACAGCAATGTCTGTTCCTTTTGATTTAGCTCTATTTTCTATTAGTGGGAGAGAAATCCATTCCTCAAATGCAAATTCCAAATTTAGCTCTGGTATTATTTCACACGATCCTTTTTTGGCTTTGAGTTTATCCTTTCTAGGGATTTCCTTTAAGCAAGCAGAAGAGTGAAGATCTATTATTTTTGACATTTTGGTCAATAAGCAATCCATTATAAATGTTGTTTAAGGCTAAGGCCATTACTCCAGAATAGGTAACAAAGCTCTGGCTAGCTAAATGAAACCCATTACTACAGGATATAGGAGAGGAGATTGGAGAAGTGCCATGAGAGGGCTCAAAATTGCCTTAAAACAAAGCTTTTTCCTTTCTCTGTTTTTAACTCAGCACAAAAGACTGCCTGATTGGGGGGGGGTTTGCTCGATTTTTATACATTGTCAGCTATAGTGACAGCTTTCTGGTGGCCTATAAATTTACATATTTGAAAGATAAATCTTTCTAGTGATTTTAATTTGTCTAGAAGTTTCCTGCAGTGTTCTGAAACCCTCTGTGAATACACTGCAAAACCCAGGTGTCTTCATCGTCCTTTAGAAACTGCTAATTATTTTTGCCTTTAGAACAAAATGAAATTCAAATATGACCAAAGATACAGGCAGACACAAAGGCAACCAAGCTTCTGTGCATATAGTGCATACATAGCATGAGTATACGAAAGTGAGGGAAAGCGTCCAGAGGCCCATCTGGATCCCTGCCGTCTCTGGGAGACACGTCTCTGGCTGCTCCGGAGATGACGATAGCATCACCCAGTGCACCAGGATCTGGCTCCTTGTTCCTCACAGCTCTACAACCCTGGGCGAGAAAGCCACTATCACCTCCTTCCCAGAACACTGACCTGAGCCCCGCACCCATGACCATCACTCCCCTGCCAGTTTACACAGGGAACTGGGCCTGCCCCAGTGCAAGGGACCAGACTCAGGGAGGCTGAGGGCGGGAGGGAGGCTGCGGGGCCTGTCTGCAGCTTCTGGTGACCACATCCCCCCTTCCAGCTCACCGAAGAGACCTGGGCTTGGGGTGGATGCAGTGTGCTTTTTGAGTCTGTTTTCCACGGCACCTGAAACTCTTGGGCGACATCATACCTTTTCTTCGCTGCTGATGTTTCGGGTGGAAGTTCTCCAGGTGATGGAGGGAATGGGGTCTCCCGAGGCTTCGCAGGTGAGAGTGACCTGCTCTTCCAGCTCCATGGCAGTCTGATTTTCTACATATGTGATTTTGGGTTTCGCTGAAAAGACAAAATGTTTTCATGAGTTTTTCTGATGACTATGTAGCTCTCTGGATTTAAGTGTTCATACACCCATTCAATAGAAGCTATCTCTTTACTAGTGCAAGGCCCTAGTTTGGGTGTTTTAGGGAACCCAGAGTTGAATCCCAGGATGGTTCAATGAAGCAGGCTTAGGTAACCCAGAAACCACAGAGGCAAAAATATATCTACAGAGTAAGAGCATAAGGGCAGTGCATATAGGAAGCGTGACAGAAAGAAAGAGAGCTGCCTTGGGTCTGAGTCTTCCTCAGAAGACAGCTCTGAGGCAAGGCCATGAATTCTCAGCAATCGCAATGCAAAGAAGCAGTCATGTAAAGAAGCTCAGGAAGACAGCAGCGCAGCATGATGGGAATTTTTTCCGCTGGCCGGAAGGGCCCACAGATGGATGGTGCTCAACCACAGCCACAGAATCACCATGTGTATCTCAAGAAGGTGAACCTAGGAAAAGCTCAAGATCATTTGCACTGGGAAAAACCTAGAGGTAGGGGAACAAATTGGGAAGCTGTGGCGAGGACACAGATGTGAGCTACTGCCGCATCCTGGGGAGGAACAGAGCAAAAGGGAACCTTTTAGAGGAGTGGGAAGAGGACAGGGGCTCCGAGGATGTGGACATGAGGGAGGGCAAAGAGGGATGAAAAGAGGAATGAGAGGTTCATGTCCCTAATGGCTCGAGATCCATCCGGTGTCAGCATTAACTCAAGTGAGCCATCAGGGGAGAGCTGGTTGGGGGCTGTGGGGGTGCTGAGGGTGGGAGAAGAGGTGTGGGGCTGAGTTCATTTTCCAAATGTTTCGGGTAATGCAAGAAACATAAGTGTTCCAAAGCTGAGCGCAATGTTAAAACATTAGCGAAAATTGAATTTTCCCAATTTAAAACAATTATATACTCTGAAATTGCTGAACCTTCCTCAGAAAGGATAACACTGCACAAATGTAACTTATTTCACTAATGGAGGGGAAAAAAAGGCCAAGCTAGAGAGATAGTAACAATAACAACAACAAAAAACAGAACATGGATAATGTTTGAAATAACTCTATTTCCTTTATGCTCAAGCCCATATACTAACTGCAGTAAGCTAATAAAGTACTCCCTCTGCAGCTATCTGGCCTGTCAAATTCTTTGCTACTGTTTTCAGGAACAGAAAACAATGGCAGACCTATACTTTTTTTTTTTTTTAAATTTTAGGAAAGGGTCTACAGGGTGTTCAAGGTCTCACTACTAGATCAGACTCATTGTGATCTACCTGTTTACAGCCCCCCAAGAGCTAGGGTTATGGTGGGCACCACCATGCCCAGTCTCAGTTGCTGTCTCAGCATGCTCTGGGGGTGGGGTCTGCATGGCAGGCCCAGGGATCGAACCCCTGCCCCTGTGCCTGCTTGAAGGCACTTTAATCCGCTGAGCTATTTGGCCTGTCCCTCCTATACTGTTTTTGGATAGCATATATCTGCTTCTACATAAAATCACCTACGTATTTTAAATATTCTCCCAAAGTTAATGGGCACCAATAGCCTGTTCAGCAAACCCTTCCTTCATAGTGGGTACACAGGTACTTCCTAATCTCTTGTAGTCATGTGGGCTCAAGTCTGAGTTGATGGACTCCATGGGAATGCGATTCTCCTGTGCAAGGTTTCAGCTTCTAACTTGATCAATACAACTTTTCAGGTGATAATTTGTACTGGATGGACGATGCACCAACTCCCATTAAATTTTATGGGTAAAATAAAAGTGGCAATCTAAGTAAGTACAAAAAATAAGGTAGGCAAGAACAAAAGTTGAATCTGTGTTGTCAAATGCACAGAATGAAAAGTAAAAGAAAAACAACGAAATGAAACTTCTCACCAAGCCAAACAGTTGTTTTGAGGCTTGGAGAAAACCTCAGGATGTCTGAATTCCAGGCCTCTTGAAACTTAGGTGTTGGGATGTAGACAGTGTTTGCTGACCTTCCTGACCCGCAGCTCTGGGCTCTGGCGGTTAACCATAGATAGACAAGGTTTAGGGGACATCTTAATATTTGGCCCTAGTGGCTCTATTTCCAAGATGGTTAAAAGGCTGCGTTGTGGAAGTCCTTAGAAAAACGTGGACTATAGTCTCACCACATTATTAACAAAGGCTAATTTTGTGCTGCCGGAAACAGGCAAGCTTCTCGTTGACGACATCATTGCCTCTCACTGAAGAGGTGACACTGCTGTCCACGTTAACTCAAGGATAGAAGATCATTCGAATCATTTCTTGGCCTTTTGGCTAAAATGAAGTGTAGAATATTGTTGGAGAAAGATGGACATGCTCTGAAAAATTACGCTGGGACAGAAGGAGGAATAGAGACTGATGCAGGCCACACTAAGAATATACAAAGGTCCCTCTCTTCGCATTCCAGCACTGAGAGGTCTCTCTCCAGGATTTATCCTCTAATGGGCCCTTGCTCCATCTTCAGCAGCCTCCGTTGTGGGCTCCTGGTTTCTGGATCCCTCTCCTAGTGTTCACCTGCCTTCACGAGCCTCTGTGCTCCGACTTCTCGCTCCATCTCTTCTCTAGATCTTCTAGTGGATGCTGCCAACCTGGCACTTTCACAAGCATGTCCATAGCTCTGCAGTCTGCCCTCACAACCCAGTCTTTTCCAGGAACTGTTGACCCTGGCCCATGGAGAGCCAGGGGGACCCTGCTTGACTGAACAGGGAGGCTGGGCAGATTAGTAGAGGACATGACCAGGTACACCTTCCTCCAGGCCTGGCTGGTCCTCTCTGTCCCCTGTAAAGGCAACTACTCCAAGGGGTCAGCTAAGTGAGGCTTCTGCCCCCTCCCAGGCAAACTTTCCTCACCCATGGCAGTATGAGACCCCAAGAGAATCAGCACAAGCCTGATACTCTGCAGAGACAAAAATACCTTGGAAGGGCTCAAGGGGAGATGAACAATGAAATTCACCACCAATTTCAGAGGAAGGTACAATGCAATTACCTAGTAAAGGAACTTTCTAGCTGGTAACTAGGGCAATACATGCAAAATAGGTCCTTAGGAAAAGCTGCTGCCAGTAGGCCAGAGTGCTACAGTCTCTAATTAATTATGTCCTTTAGCTACTGATTGCCACCACCTCCTGAGGCCTCAAGAGCTGTGACATCTTTTTTTCACTCGCTACACTGCAGGTTTCTTTCCTCTTCCAGCACACTGGACTCTGTTGCTGTTGGGCAACCTGCTTACTTATCCCCAAAGATAGTCCAGAGCCAGCCCCCATTCATCTCATTGCCTGGCCCCATATTGGTCTCCTCAACCAGTAGAGGAGGCTAAGAGAAGAGAAAGGAGGCAAAAAGGAGATGGTAAGAAGCTGTATTCAGGGCAACGGTTATTCCAAAGAGGTTGTAGGAGCTCTCCCAGGAATGCTACCGAGTGCTGTCACTCTGGATTCTGCAGAGTCACTGCACAGCTCCAGTTCCTCATGGGGAGCCCAGCTACCTCTCCTCCGGTTGCTCCCCTATGCTGCCTTGCGTACACCACTCCAGCTGCAGCAGTCTTGGGTCACTACGGGTTGTGCCATCAGTGAGTGTGTGCATGTGCATGTGTGTGTATGTGGCTGTGGGCACAGAGGGTGGAGGACGGGAGGGCAAGTCCTGCCTTGCCTGCTTCCGCGTCCTACTCTTCCTGCTTCATTATTCTGACTGCAGACACTTAGCTGTGTTCTCTTCATTCTGCTCTGGCCCCGCAGGCTCCCTACCACCTTCTCTTCCACCGGAGGCAGGCACATTAGAGCTGAGTGTGCTGCATGGAGAATCTACAAGAAGCACAGTAACAAACTGAGCGCGCAATGGTCCCTAAGTCACTAGCCATTGCCTAGCAATGCAGATACAGCGTGTGCGTGGAGCAGTATGAAGGAATGGTAACCACCACTGTTAGCTTGGGGAATGGACTTGGAAGCCAGCTGCCTCCTGGCTCCTTGGGCGAGACACCTAGCTTCCGCATTCATTTGTAAAATGGGGATAATTGAATCTACTTCGCAGGACTCTGATGAAGATTAAAAGAGCTAATTTACAGACAGTGCTGTGCAGAGCTTGGCAGAATATAAGTGCTAGTTTGTGTTGAGTATTA